CATGCTTTTAATCATTTCAAGGCTTTCATTGAAAATCAATTCAACAAGAAAATTAAAGCTCTACAGTGTGATGATGGTTCATAGTATAAGCCTTTTGTTCCTGTAGCTCAATCTGCTGGCATTAATTTAAGATTTACTTGTCCATATACATCACCTCAAAATGGTCGTGCAAAGAGAAAGTACCATCACATAGTTGAGATGGGACTGACTTTATTAGCTGAAGCACATGTGCCACTTACATATTGGGTAGATGCTTTCCAAGTAGCTATCTACTTGACAAATAGATTGCTTACACCAGTGTTAGAAGGCAAGACTCCTCTATTTAAATTGTTTAAAACAGAGCCAGATTACAAATCTCTACAACCTTTTGGGTGTGCTTGTTATCCTTGCTTGAAACCTTATAATGAACATAAATTTCAATTTCATAGTCAAAGGTGTGTCTATTTGGGGGTAGCAAACCAACAAAAAGGGTATAAATGTTTGAGCTCCACTGGGAAAATATTTGTGTCCAGACATGTGGCTTTTAATCCATCTTCATTTCCCTGTCTCAGGATTTTTAAATAGAAGAATAGGTGCAAGAGAATCAAATGATGCAACGATGACACCAGTGCACTTTGCGAATTTAATAACACAGAATCAGCAACCTGAAGCGAATATTGAAGTTTCCACATCGTCTTCTTCAAATGGCACTAATCCATTGTTTCCAGATTTAAGGAATGACAATGTGTTACAGAATAACTCTCCACCTCAAAGTGCATCTGTTAAAGTATCCTCTGCAGACCACTCTATAAGTAAAAGGCCCAATACTGAGGTTGAAGCCCAAAATCCACCACAAGATTCATTAAATAGACACCATATGGTTATCGGAGCCAAGGATGGAATTTACAAGCCCAAGCATCCCTTTATTGGGCTTAGGCAAGCTGAAGACCCTAAATCCCTATCAAAAGCTGTCAAAAGCGTCTGAACCCTCCTCTATTCCAATGGCTCTTTCTCTTCCTCAATGGCAGCAAGCAATAGTGGATGAGTTCAATGCTTTGCAGAGAAATAAAATGTGGGTCCTAGTGCCATACGATGGTTCACAGAAGCTTGTTGAATGTAAATGGATCTTTAAGACCAAGTTTCGTGCAAACAGTTCTATATTGAAGCACAAAGCACGACTTGTTGCGAAAGGCTTTCAGCAAGCTACCGGAATCGATTATGGAGAAACTTTCAGCCCAGTGATCAAGCCTACGACGATGCGAGTAGTACTTACGATTGCTGTAACATTTAACTGGGAAATCAGGCAGTTAAATGTAAATAACACTTTCTTAAATGGTTTCTCCAAGAGAATGTATATATGAAGCAACTAGAGGGATTTGTGGATTAGAGTCATCCCAATCATGTTTGCCAGCTAATCAAAGCCAGTTATGGGTTGAAGCAAGCACCAAGAGCGTGGTATGATCGTTTAAGACTCACTTTGCAGCAGTGGAAATTCTATAATGCCAGAAGTGACACATCTCTATTTCTACTTTGAAAGGATAACATCACTATCTTTGTTTTAATTTATGTGGATGACATCTTGATTATTGGAAACAATTCAGATTATCTGAGAAATTTTGTTCAAAAACTGAATTCTATGTTCTCTTTGAAAGATCTTGGACCGCTATACTATTTTCTGGGTCTTAAAGTTTTTAGAGACAAATCTGGAATTTTTTTGAGTCAAGGGAAATATGTATTGGATCTATTAAAGAAATTTAATATGTTAGATTGTGCCCCTATTCCAACACCTATGGTTACGGGTAAACATTTTTCATTTGATGATGGTGAATTGATGAAAGATCCCACTCTATATAGAAGAGCCATAGGATCGTTACAGTATTTAACAAATACTAGGCCAAATATTGCCTTTTCTGTAGATAAGCTGAGTCAATTTTTATCAAATCCAACATGCACCATTTTCAAGCTATTAGGTGTATACTGAGATATTTGAAAGGAACATATAATTATAGCTTGCACATAAAACCTCTTTCATCCCTGCAAATTATGGCATATACTGATGCTAATTGGGCTGCTGATCTTGATGACTGAAAATCCATAGGAGGTCTTTGTGTTTCTTTGGGTAATACGTTAGTTTCTTGGTCTTCTTGCAAATAGAGGGTGGTTTCTAGATCTAGCACTGAGTCTGAATATTGAGCCTTAGTTGATGAAGCTGCTGAAGTAAAATGGATCACATCTTTATTATTTGAATTAGGCTTGTTTTTAAAACCCAGTTCAACATAGTCAGAGCAAACACATAGATATTGATATTCATTTTATTAGAGATATGCTGGCTTCTCAATGTATTAACATCACATATATATCTTCAAGTCATCAGATAGCAGACTGCCTAACAAAGTCTCTTGCTCATTCTCAGTTCTCCTATTTCAGGCGCAAAATCGGCCTGTCTATCACACCCTCTCATTTGAGGGGGAATGTTAAAGCATAACATATTGTGTTATATTTGTATTAGGAGTCCATTGTAACAACTATAGCTTGTCTAGAATCTTCTCACCTTTACACGTGTCTAGCTTCAATAGGCTCTCAATCATTTTTCTGTTGATTCTTTGTAATACCTTTGTCCTCTATCTATTGTATTCTTGTCTATATATTCAATAAAGAAAGACAGAGCACAGTGTCTCGGATTATTTAATTCTCTCTACCCTAGCTTTTCTATCTTTTTTTCCCAAAAAAAGTATCAACTTTACTTTTAGATTTGGAAAAACTCTGTTTTTCATAATAAAAAATAAAACCGTACAATTATGTCAACAAAAAGGAGGCCTGTGAGATTTTTCTACTTCTATATAAAAAAATTAATTTCTAATGTGAGAACAACACAACCATATGATAGTCACAAATCATAAGTTAGAGAGGTTCAATCAATAACGGGATCACTAGTTTGTATTTTTAATTAAATCAAGGAAACTGAAATTTTATATACCACCTCCAGTCTTTAACATAAGAATTAGATAATTAATTTGAAGATATACAAAAAAAAGAAATTAGTTAAATTGGTCATTTGTCACAAATATATGTTGGTATCTCTAAAATATCCTCTTCAACCAAGTATATTGGAACTACCTTTTCATGAAAACTTCAACATTTACAATCACTATAGCAATTACTTTGGAAAAAAAAAAAGATAAATATAAGAGAGAAAGTAGATTGAGATCCCATATTTAGTATAACAAAAATTTCAATAGGCTTTTATATTAAGAATCAAAAGTAGTTTATTTATTTTATGACGAGCTCTTTTAATTTTCACAAGTTAGAGAGGTTCAATCGGTAGCTTTAACATTTACATGCATGTTTTAATTTAATTAAATGAAAGCATATTAAGTATAGAAGGCTAAGCAGCAGATAAATCTTTTCCATAAATGATATAATTAAGTTAGATATATCATAATAACAAGCTTACATGTAGTTTTACTTAAGTAATTTAATTTTCCATTGATGTTAAAGTAAAAGATCTTAAAGGCTTCCTCCCCTGAATATACTGTCACTCATTCAAATGTACTGGGAATAGTAATTATATTTTCTGTGTGGCATTGTATCTGTTGCAGCTACAGGCACTCGTAAGATATTCTCCAAATTAACCTCATAAGCCACGAATTATGAAGTAATTGGATTGATTGACTAAATAACATGTAATTTATCAAAAAAGTACAAAATATTTAGGTTTTTTTAAAATAGAATGATGAAACAAATTCCACTGGTCTCCTTCGATCAAAACCTCTGCTCTATTAAATCCAAGACATTAAGTTGGAGACATTTGGTTAAGGATGCAAGAATTAAAGACAAACTTCAGTAGTAGTAGCAGTAGAAGACTAGTGGTAGTAGTATAAGCGCCTATACACATTGCCGAAATGGTCTTAGCGAAATGGTCAAGTCCACAATAGCCGTCTCTTTGGACTGGCTATTTTGTCTCACTATTCCTCTTGACTATTATTTTTTGAAGGATGATAATCATGTAGCAGAACTCCGAAGGTTTAGGTGTCTAAAAAGTTTTGTTAAAAAACAAGTTATAATAATAATTCAGAAAGTTCTAAACATGAGAGTTCAAGCTGCAAGCTATATATTATACTACAAACGAGGTCTTATAATTAGTAGTACTTCACAATTACCAACTCCTACTTCTAAATATAGGAATTAGACAAAATAAATTTACTTTAATGACCTCAATTTGCCTTGCTTTCCTAAATTTATAATTTTTTCCCCCAAAAGATCATTCTTGATTGTACATATTAAGGAGGCCCCTAATCAAGGAGTATTTCTAATGCACATGATTAAATAGGATAGTTTAAAAAAAAAACCAAGATACATTTGTTATAAATAACTAACTTAAATAATTGTATTAATTTACACAAATTAGTCATTCAGGAGTAGTATTAATTAACATCTGCTTAGACTTTCATACTTGTAATTATATAAATTGATTCTAATTTAATTTCCAACAAAATCTGTCAGAGACCGGACTGTTGTAAGATTTAAGTTTTGAAACTCAAAACTATTATTTTTCCTAATATTTTCCAACAATTAATTCCTTGCACGTGTAATGGAACTCCCCAGTATCCTTTTTTCAATGTAAGAAAAATCTAGATTCCTCTCTTTTAGATCTACCGTGTTAGACACGCAGGGTCGTTGACAATGACAACTTCAAACTATTTTCTACGTGCGACTGCCGATACTGACTGAACTGTTTCATCATTTCATGTGCTATCTGATATAAAAAATATATACATATGTATATATATAGTAGCTTCTAGAATTGATACTTGTGAATATCCACGCCTGCAAGGAGATGTAACGAAACATACGTAAAGCACGAGAGATACCATTACTTGTAGGCCGAGGGAGCTAGGCATCCACAATACTTGTAATTATAACTTTCTGATTGATTAGTTTTGTGACTCCATATATCTGCAAAACTAAAAGATTGGACCTGGCTATCACATGAACTCTAAATATTAATTAAGTTGGCAGAATAACAGTAACAAAAGATGACAAAACAGCAGCCATATATTTACCATCGATCTTTTGTTGAAACTGAACACATAGAGGTCGATGTACAAAATTCTTGAGGAAATGAATCGATGACTCTTGTTATATATATAGACTAATAAAGGCCTGAGCTATACATATATCTGTCATGCTAAAATCTCCCAATACTCCCAACACTTTCTTCCACCGGCAAGCTAAGTTGTTTGTGCTTTCACAAAGGGATGGTCTAGTAATGCTGCAGCAGAGGGCCGATCGGCCGGAGTTTTTTGGAAGCAGAGTTGAAGAAAATCTTTACCCTCTTGGCTTAACTCTTCTGGTATGGGCGGATGCTGCTCTTTAAAATGAACATTAAAGAAGACCTGCACCTGCTTATCAGTAAATGAATTTGTTTTAGTTATATACTAAATCAATTAATAAATCAGAGATCCATATATTATCTAAACCAATGTTCGCTCTATACATATACATACTGAAGCTTTAAAGTGTTTACCGGTTCAAGATCATGCCAAGGATGTTCCCCTGAGAACATTTCAATGATTACACAGCCCAAACTCCATATATCAGCAGCATAAGCTTCAAGCCAGCTCTTATATTCTATTCTTTTAAGAACCTGTATGTTTGAGAAATTAAACAAGTCTATCAAGAAATACTTTGTGACGCATAATGTAGAGTATATGAAAATATGAACCTCTGGGGCTGCATAATATAGAGTTCCCGGCGTGGAGTGCTGGCCAGCAGATTCTGCTAGCTATTCAATACAGAAAAAAGCCAGTTAAGTCATCAATATTACTCAATCTTGGGACTATCATGTCAATCCCAAGGGTATTTGAAAAGCCACCAATACACACACACGCACAAGTAGGACGCATTCTTCTATTTCTTTATAATGTTTCATACTTCATCATGCATGGGCATGGTGAAGCGTTTTTGGAGGATATCCAAATTCTTGGTGAATATAAGGAAAATGTGTTGAAAGGACTACGGGTATTCTCATATAATATCACTTAGATAGGAAATATATAATTCCCGTGTAGCCTATATATAGGTGAGGAGGTCAATTGTGATTCTTTTTCGAGGATTGAGGCAAGATATTGCAACTGAACGTAAAGAACTAAAGATGAAGGTTAATCTAGTTTCAAAAAAAAAAGTTCAAAATCTACTAATAATCTAAGCCTGCAAGTATTTAAAAATAAATATGATAACTATTGAAGTAATTAATCAGTATACAAGATGTAGGAGATATCCAAGGACTTACCTGCTCAGCCAAAGCAAAGTCAGCAAGCTTTACATTGTTCTTAGAATCCACAAGTATATTATGCGGTTTAATATCCCTGTAAGCGTATATAAAAGTAAAGGAAGGAATTTCAAAAAAAAAAAAAAAAAGATGTATAGCGATAGCCTCCTCCAATGAAGGAAATGAGATAGTTATATCAGATTGTTCGAGCGTACGCAAATTAAAGAAACAAGGCATTTTAGCTATGAAAACAGTATAAATGTTGCTTTCGCGATTAAAGAATCCCAACATTTATGATTACATAGTTACGCGTAATTTCTGAAAGAATTTGCTACGGATTTGTGATGAAAATTACCGATGGAACATTTCCGTGGCTAATTCCATCGGAAAATGAAGTTACCCACAGAATTACCGACAAAAAAAAATCCATGGCAAATTCTATCGGTGATATTTCCAACAGGATTTTTCCGACGGAAATTATTCCATCAGTGATTCAGTGTTTTTTATTAGTGACGGTCCCCAGCTTGAAAGATACACTTGATCATAGGTATAAATAAGTGCAAATTGTAGCTAATCAAATATTTATTGATCATAGCAACTGAAGTTTTCAATTAATAACAAAGCATGTTGGAGGTGGATTTAAGATGCCAAACAAGAATATAATATCTGCAGTTAGTGACCCTACCAGAGAACTTCCAGTCTAGTCCAGCTTGTTTACGAGACTGGATCAAATTCATTTTGACAACCCCATTTCTTAATGTTTTTGAAACATTAATTAAAAATCAGTTATCCTACAATTAACACCAGATTATGTGTTATATTGTCCGGAGCTCATGCAGTCTTACACGTAAGTATGTGAATATACCTGTGGACTACTCTTCGTCTGTGCAAGTAAACCAATCCAGAGAGAATCTGTGCGGTGAAATCTCGAACTAATGATTCTTGTAAAGCACCTCGATAAGTGATATATTTCTTCAGTGAACCGGGCTGAACAAGTTCCATGTATATGCGTCCCCGGCTTCCCTCCTCCTCACATAGGCACACAAACCGGTTAATTACACACAAGAGCGAACAAAAAGAATTTACAGCTACTCCACAATGAAAAATTTAGTTCCTCTCCATAAATCAGGAGACAACTTACTATTTCACTGCCATAATACTTTACAATGTTTTGATGTTCCAGCCGGCTGAAAACTTGAACTTCCTGAGTACGAAAAACCCTACTTTAGCAGGTTATGGCATAATATGGGCACAAACAGGACTCAGAATAACATATTCACGTTTATAAACTGTGTAGCACAATTTCGGTTGCACGAAAAAGCTAAAACGTTTTTGCAAGCTGTTATTGGAAGCCATTCGAAGGAAAGCTGTTGATTTTGGGCCCGCATGTGTTTTATTTAAAGAGGAACTATATGCCAATCGTGGCGCATTTAAATGTGTCAAGCTAAATTTAATATGATTGCGAGTATAATTACACTCTCCAGCAAACATAAAATTTGTTTATGTACTTGCCAAATAGCTTCTTTCACCTTCATTGCTAATCTGAGTGAGGATAATCAGCTGTGCAGCGGCAGATACAAGTTTTGGTACAGTGAGGCTTAGTATATTCTTGAAGAACAAGGCGCTGTGCATGGATAAAAGGCTCTAAAACTATATTGAAAGTTAGAAGGCTTTTTTTAATTAGTATCTAAAGGGTTACCACAACCCTGGTAAGAAACTAGTATAAGATACAAACAAGATATTAAAGTGGGTCAAATTATGAACACTCAATTACATCCGTAATGCTTGTAGCTGGGAATGCAAAACTGCCTACGGGCCTTATTAATTATGAGGGGCGAGTCCAGTGGAGGGACTCGACTAATATTTGGATAGTACAAGATAAAAAAACTGACATTTAGGGGGTGTTTGGGAAATAGGAGAAGTGTTTTTTAAAAGCACTTTTCCGCAAATCGAATTAAACTCCTCCACATATTTACCTCATATACTGTAAAATCACTTTTGAAATCATGATTTGATTTCTATCCAAACACCCCCTTAAGTCTTGTGAAAACAAGAGGTACTCCTGATTTTATTTATAAGTCATTTCCAACATGTTTCAGATAAATTAAAAAAAAAAATTAAACTACATTAACTCTACATTAAAATTCAAAAATTTTTCAACTCTATCCCTATTTAATATACATTATATCCTATAAAAACAAAACCAATCGAGTAATAAATATAGGGTAAAGTTGAAATTCACATGTAAAATTTCTCCCTCTCTCTACCTTAAGTATAGGACCAAAAAAAATCCTCTTTACCAAAGGAATATATTATAGCTAGTATTATATACTTTATGTGCTTGATCCCAGAAATGAAGAATAATATAATCCTTCCCTGGATAATGTTATGAGGTGATTATGATTATGATAATGCAACCTATATAAGCAATGATACGGAAACAGTTAATTCTAATCTTACGATATGCAAAGAAATCAGTCTACCCATTAGGCTTGGGTATGAAACTAGTCCGTTGCGAAGCTGTTTTCTCTAGCTTCATCAGCGTAAACACAAGGCATATGAGGGATTAAAACTGAGAGTACTTGAGCATATGAAACTCATGAAAATAGAGTCTTACTTTTTCTTTAAAAACAAAATGAGGGCTAAAGCGTCCTCCTAGACTTCCTCTGTTTATTTGATTTTTGGAAATTAATTTGTGCACTGTTTCTTAAAAAAGACACTTGAAAATCCTCAACTTTCTGCAGGTGGAGGATTCACATCCAAGTGTGACAGATAAATTGCAGTATACATAAGACGGACCCGATGTAGCGATTCCGCAACTCCAGGATTGCCAATGTAACGCATTTCCTTTATTGCACATGATTCTCCAGTTTCCCTGTCAAAAATGAACATCACAACATATTTTGGTATAATGCTAGACGAGTATTGAGCAGGATATTAGGCTATTTCCCATATTTAACCTATTATTTATTTCGAAATTAAATTAGGAGAATAATATCAAAGTACCAATTTGCTCCTGGATAGTATAGAGAGATGCATATGTACCTGTTGACGCCATGATGAACAATTCCAGAACTGCCTCTTCCAATAACTTCCCCTATTTCCCATAGGTCAAGTGGGGTGCTATCAGAGACTGGATCAACAGCATCATCATCGAGAAAGTCATGAATTCCACTTTGACATACTTTTCAATTATCTAACTTTTATATCTTCCATTACTTGTTTCAATTACTTATCATACTAAGCTAACAATAAAGAGGGACATAATAGGGAAAAGAACATTTATCACTAACAACACATGACAGAAGAACAAGGATCAATAACTATTTCGATAGCTCGTGATCTCCTGCGACTCCTGTAAATTTTTACTTATGGGAAAGAATGTGATAACATAAAAAGACAGTGGAAGGAAAAGGTACCTTGATAATGCATGAGACTCTCATCAGTTGATTCTGCAGATTTTGTTGAGTTAGAATCAACACTCATATCTCCCTCGAGTTCTTTCCAATCTTCTTGTTCTTGTATTTTCAGCAGCAAGTTGTGATCAGCGTATCTTCTAGGGTCCCTGAATTGAATATTTGCTAGGTTACTTTGTAGATCGTGTACATGAACACCAAAACAGATTCCTTTTTCGCCTTTTATTTCCGGTGTTTTGCTCTCAAGGGAAACCTTCACTTGATTCCACTTATTTTGAAGGGGGAGTTCAGTACTGTGAATTATGCTTCGCATGTCACATATAAAAATGTGATCAGTCTTTATTGTTGACAGTAAAAGCCACTCAGAAGAAATATCCAGCTTGGTGTTATTGAAGTGCACTGATAATTTGAAGTTGTAGACATAATCCTGATCATCTTTAACAAGAATCCATAAAAAAGCCATTGGGAACACGTTACGAACCCAAAATGACACAAAACTTCCCCGACTATAATAATGGAGCCTTTCTGGAAATTTGTTTCCGGGCAAAATAAAGTTTCTTTTACCAGATTGAAAGTTGAATACCTGCCAATTGCGAATCACCACCCAAAAAAAAAAAACATCGAAAAGTTAACTCACATAATTAATTAAAAAAAATACAATCATAGGAGTGGGGGGTTACCTGCTTCAATACTTTGCTTTTCGATAATTTAGTCAATGATGTGCAACATATAGCACTGAATTTTTCCAAGTTTGGTGGCATCTCTCTAATATGTTGAAGCTGATCGCAATGATCCAAAAAGAGATATTTCAAATTGTGATATTCTTTGATGCATTCTGGAAGACTCATGAAATTATTAAGACTTAGATCTAAATATATCATATTACTGAAGTAAGAAAGACAGAAAGTAAGAGAATCATCTGATAAATTGCAATTTGAGAAACAAAGCTGTTCCATTTTCAACAATGTTGCTGATAAATCCGAGCTTGCTTTATCTCCACCTTCACACATCTTAATATCACTCATTCGCTCACAAGAATTTGCTGTCAGTTTCCAAAGGTTTGGTAATGTACAAATGCTAGCTGGTAATTGCATAAGATTAGGACATTCTTCCATGTGTAAGATTTCAAGTCCAACAAGATTGCAAATTGAAGATGGCAATTCCGTAATTGCTGTCTTGTCCAAGTCAAGTGTTTGCATTTCTACCATCATGACTGATACTTCTGGAAATGTCTGAAGACTTGAACAACCAAAGAGGTTCAGATGTCTAAGAGATGTCAACCGAAGGCAAGATGGCAATATCTTCAACTTTTCGCATCGCATAGCACTCAATTCTCTCAATTTTTCTAAACATCCAACTGACTCATGAATTCCAATTAAATTTGTGCAGCCATCAAGCCATAATTCTCTTAAATTAGAAGCTCCCGATAAGTCTGGTATTTGCAGTAGAGATTGACAATTTCTTAACTTCATACTACTTAAATTGCGAAATTTCTGCAAAACAAAATATCAATTTAATTACTTTGAGAATTCGTCATAGAAGCCAATTAAAAAGAAAAGAACAAGGGTATTTATGTACTCACCTTATCAAATGGTTGGAGCAATTCACAAAAACTAAAGGACAAGTCAAGATAGACAAGTTCAGTTGCACATAAAGATGGTAAAAATTTGAAAGAATACCCTTTCCATTCCAACCACCTTAAACTCTTTGGCAGATATTTGGGATATTCAGAAAAGCATGCTTTTTTTATCACAAGCATTTTGAGACTTTTCATCTTCACAAATGCCTCCCCACTCCATTGTACTTCTATATTTTCAGGCAAGTCTAGAGTTATGGCTTCAATTTTGTTTGTCCCCTTCCAAATTGAAAAGCACATGATAAATGTCAAAACATAAATATTATAAATCATTAGGAATTTTTCATAGAAATTGAAGAGTACATGTTGGTGATCTTACTTTGTCTTGTTCTAAGACATGAAGGATGTCTTGATAGGACCATAATCTGTTTTGTTTACCAAGCTGATATGATGATTCTTGTCGAACAATCTCTTTACCGGCATCTTCTATTAAGTCATGCATTGTTACAACATCTTGTTCAAGCTTTACAAGGGATTTATCAATCAGCACTTCAATAACATATTCTGGCTGTTGGATCCCCCGAACACATTGCAAGATATGAATGACATATGCTAACTTCTCACCATTGAAAAAACAAGCCAAGTCAAGGAAAACTTGTTTCTCTACTTCCCCTAAACTATCATAGCTTAATTTCAAGGCATCCAGAACTCTTTGATCTGGTGTGCTTTTTAATATATCCAATGCAGCACTCCAGAGATTAACTCTTTTGCCGCACAATTTAGAAGCAATCAATTCTAAAACTAATGGAAAGCCACACGAATAACGTATTGCACGATTGCAAGCCTCCATGTTGTTGGAATCCACATTTTCTTTTTTAAATGCACACCAGCTAAGCAACTTAAGAGATTCCTCATAATTTAATTCCTTGACTTCATCAATGCTTGTAACACCATGACTTACAAGTAATTGCTTATCTCTGGTCGTGATGATAATTCTACTTCCACAACCAAACCAATTGCAACTTCCAGCAAGTGCGTCTAATTGATTTAATTCGTCAACATCATCAAGAATCAAAAGAATCTTCTTCTGACTAAGCCTATGCTCTATTATTGGTATTCCCTCATGATAATCATTCAGTTTGAGATCTTCCTCCATGACTAATTCACGCAATAATGTCTCTTGAAGATGTGGCAAACCATGTGGCATTTTGGAGCGCTTTCTTACACTAGAAAGAAAACACAAGCCTTCAAAATTATCAGCAATTGAATTATATACAGCCCTAGCAATAGTTGATTTACCTATTCCACCAGCTCCCCAAATTCCTATCATTTTAATTTCCTTTGCGGACCAAAGATCTAAACAAGAGATAACTCTCTTGGCTCGAGCCACAAGTCCAACGGGATATTTTGCAATATCTAAACGCAACCGGTTAATCCTAGCAGCAACAACATTCGTGATCCTTGTAACAAACTCTTGTTCATTGGCAATCCTGAACAATTTGTAAAAAATTCACTTTTAGTTAAACTAAAACTTCAAGATATGTCAATTTTAGGTATTAAAAACTTGGATTTATGGTGTTATGCACCTTTTTAAGTGTTGGATTAATGGTGTTCTGGCTAGTGAACGGAATCCTGGGAGGAATATGGCATGCTTGATTACTGTTTCTCTTTTTTGTTTTTTGGAGAATAAAATTAAAAACATGTTTTCCGATGAGTTTTCAAAGAAATAATCAGCACATTTCACAAAACTATTGTTAGCAGGTAATAATGGTACCAAACTTGGCAAGCGCTACCCTTGTAGGGTATGTTTATGTGCACGTTGTTGTAAGATGGAAATTGTAAGTAACTGTACTTAAAGTACTAGCAAAAAGAGTGAGGAGATGTACATACTTGGGTTTGAGATGACAGCCTCTGAGGTCAGCAGCTTGAGACAGAGCGAGCCTCCATTTTTCCACCTTGTGCAGATTGTCCTCGAATCTTTCCTCCAGTCGAGCCAATGCTGCTGCATAGCTTTCTCTGGGACATCGTAGTTCTGATGGATCCACATAATAAAATACTGGATATATCAACCGACTCTCTTCCTTGAAGCACTCCAGAATCTCTTCAAGTTCTCGCAAACAAAATGTTGAGTTTGCATAGTTTTTTGAGAAAACTATGATGGCTATTCTTGATTTTTGTATAGCTTCAAAAAGCGCGGGTGTGATATTTTCTCCAATCCTAATGAATTCATCATCGCGAAAGGCGCGAATTCCGCTTTGATGCAGAGAATGGTAGAGATAGCTAGTGAAGCCTAAGCGAGTATCATCACCATAAAAACTAAGGAACACATCATAAGTCCATTTGTAAGTGATAGAAGAAGATAGCGCTGGATGTGCCATGAGCTAATCTTAAGCGAGGAGTAAAGAAAGAAGAGAGATATCTCCAGCACTAGAGAGAATGAAGGGTTAAAGTTCTGGTGACTATGAAATAGTCTCCGCGTTGGCTTTAGAACAGGCATGACTCTCAACTCAGAAGACTATTAGGTGGAGATACTTTTTATAATATACAAACTTTAAGATAGGAAAAGATATAAGAATGTGACAAGAAATAATCATCATTATTATGGCTTTGTGTAAAATAAAATAAAGAAATTATTGAAGAGGAATAATCAATTAGAAAGTAATAATGTTTTGTGCATTAATTTTTATGACAAAAAGGTATGGAAACATAAAATATGATGAATATGAGATGCATACTGATATATAGGCGTATAGATTAAACGTATATATCCGCCCAATCATCGTAGAAATTTTCAAAAAAAAAAAAGTGCAATTTTTAAATTTAAAACATCTTTAATGTGGCCAGCGATTGTATCTAAATGTCTTGATACGTGTGAAAGAGTCAAGGACTCAAGGAGGTAAATAAATGAGAGGTGAAGCGGGAAGATGGTGCGAGGGAAATTTCCACGAACGATCGAAGAGGAAAAAGACGAAAGATGACAGTGGAAAGGGGAAAAAAGTGGGGAGACGGAAATTCAAAAGATATCCATCTGTCAATGAATAGTGGTGGGGTCCAACTCGCCATTATTCAGATTTCAGACGCGCATCTTGGCTTGGTTCACCTTACAGGTATTTATTAGTACATTTAATTTTTAATATAAAACATAGATAATTAATTTGTAAATATTAAAAAAACTAATTAATTTAATTATTTGTAAAAAAAATCTGTTGGCTTTTCTAAAATATGATTTCTAATCATATCTATTTTAACTACCTATTGATGAAAACTACTCCTTATTATTTGTAATCAGTAAGAGTAAAAATTTATGATTTTAAGAAACAAAATGAATTATTATGACATTATACTTAGAACTAAAATAAATATATTATCTACAAGATGTTGTAATTTCGGAGAACACCAACTTTTGTTAGGTTTTTCTTTCGTAGTAACCATTACCCCCATTTCTTCATTTCATATTAACATCTTCAGGCTTCAGCTCATACTAATTCCTTCACTAACCTCGTCCCCACTGGCACAATATTTTATATTTTCGCTAAATTTTATGATTATTCATGATCATAATTAAATATACTGCAGTGCATCCTGCTATTTTTAAGATTTTAAAAAAGTAATTATAGAAAAACTGTCATCTCCTATATACTTAGAATATATTTGCACTAGAAATTTAAAAGAGGTCTTGTAAAAGTAGTAATTAAAAGATTCCTACCGTCTTTTTCAAGTGGTCTAGTTCAATTGCTTGGAAGAGGACTCATCATTCACCCCAACTTTTCCATATATAAATTAATCAACTGCTTAATTGGTTTTTCCTTGAAATAAATCTCAGATTTTACGTGCATATTTATGCAATTATACCATAAGTAAAGGCATTAGTTGATGTAATATGCAGATTTTTCTCTTAATTAGAGGTAGAGCTAAAATTTAAGGATGATATGATTAAAAGTAAAAGATACATAGAATAAAAAGTTTACATACTAACAAGCTATTGATTAAGATAGTAAGAAGTTTCAAAGAAAAAAACTACAAAAAAAAGAACATAAGTTTAAATTCTTATAAGCATACTTGCTGGGAAGATTTTATTCTTAACAGAAATTAGTTTTAAACTCAAAATACTTTTAACTCTTTACAAAAAAAACTTTATATAAATATTTAGGAGCCTGCAATTAAAAATGAAATAAATCATCGTTCATTTAAAAAAAAAAAAAACCATGTTTGCCACTAAGAAGCTTGGAAAATTCTTGCATCTTACTTGACCCAACAGTCATTGCTGGTATGCTTGCAATTTTCTATGGAATAAATGAAAAAAGAAAAGAAAAAAGAATTGATGAAATGACAAATATTACAACTCCCGATAGGAAAATATTAAGCCTTCACTTTTTAATTAGCCTTCATTAATTATATTGAAAACACCAACTTTCATTGTTCCTCATTTCACAATAAAACAACGTTGCAAATGAAAAATATGTTATATGCCCATGAATATCAACAACGTAGTTAATACTACCTCCGGTTCTAATTATAAGAATTAATTAACTAATTTGAGGAGATTAAAAAAGTAAGTTGAGTTAGTTATTTGTCATAAATAGGTGTTGTCTTTCTTAAAATATCTTTTCTAATCAAATGTATTAGCTAAAACTACTATTGTTAAAAGGACTACTTTGAAAAAAAATATAAATATAAGAGACAAAGTGGATTGAATTCTTATATTTAGGATGAAAATAAAAATCAAACAAGATCTTTTATTAAGAACCAGAGATGGCATTAAATAATGATAGCAACGCAATAGATATTGCATACTCCTTTTAAATCTTACATGTAGGATTCTTTTAAATTAAACTAGCAAAAATTAAAAAAAATAGTTAATTTATGTGTTGACGTTAAATTTGTCAACAAGTTGTATTGTTTTTCCAAAATTTCTCTTGAAATGATTGGCTAGTTTCTTTATATCTCATTAATGATGGACATTTTGCGTGTAATTAACAAAGGTATTTTTGTAAGGAAAAATTAATACCTAGATAACTTAATTAAAAGATAAGATAATGATAGAAAAAGAAACTGAAAATTATAAATCTTAAATCAAGTCTGATAACACAACTTTATTAGATATTGACAAGTTTCAATTTATAAATGATAACAAATTTTTATTGACATTTTTTATTTCGTATTTATAAAATTCCATCTTGTTTTTGTCATTATCCCTTAGAAGATCCCTTACAAAAAACGATGAAAACAAATATCCTAAAAGTGTTATGAAATTAACTAATAAAGAAAATAAATTAAAGAAGAGATATGGACAAGAAAAAAAGAATGATATTGTATTTCTTCACTTGCTTCACTAGCATCACAATACAATAGCATACCATATTTATAGGCATAGTCTTATATATAAGTTACATTATTACTTAAATGATAAATAGTGGACAATAAACCACATGAATGTAAAGTAAGGGTGAGTTATAAGATTAAAGGTATAGTAAGAAAATAATAAAATAGTAGAAGATTAATACTTAGTGTAAGTAGAGAGAGTTAACGAAGTTAAAAAGAAAGAGGAGATGGATATTCATGTTTGATAATACTCATGACAAAAAGAAAGTTTTGGAAAGTCAAACTGTCACCAGTTCTCCTCACCAGCTGGCTCTACAGGTTTGGAGGTCTAAAAAATTGAGCCATTTTGACCCGTTTTGATATGGTGTTTGAGTTGAAAGCTGAAATCTAGCTAGAATCTGAAACGGTTTAACGGGAACCGGACGGATCGAAAGTTTGTGAATCTAAAATAGTTTTTGCCCCTTGCCCCTCCCAATCCACACCTAGAGAAGGAACAACCATCAAAAAAAGAATGGAGGGGGGAGAGATAAGAATGAGGCCGAAGGAGGAAAGTAAAGACCAATGCCAAATAAAACGGATTTGGATTCTCTTCACTACATTTCTCATCTTCTCTTCCTCTGTTATCCTCATTTTCTCAGCATAACTATTTGATTAAATTTCCAATAGTCCAGATTCAACATCTGATAAAAATAATAATATTATAAATAAATAAATTTAAACTCTTAAAATCTGGTTTGAATAGTTCACAATTGTAATAAAAAAATTTAAAAAATTTGCTCTATAATAATAGTCTGTAGCTATGAACTGTTCAGATTACATTTTAATAGTTTAAATTTATTTATCTATTTTTTATAATAATATTTATTTTTGTAAAATGTTATAAAATATTAAGGGCTTCTTTGGATTGCAGTTTGGAACTGCAGTTGTATCTTGGAATCTGTAAAACTGAGGTTACAAACTGAGTTTGACCAAAACTGTTATTTGCCTTTGTTAACTTTTCCAACCAACTTCTGGTTTTCAACCTCAGTTGGACTTAACGGAGAAAAATTTGACTTTTCAAACTGCAGTTTCAAATGGTGATTATTAAAAATGAGTATCCCAGATTTATCCTGACATTTTTTCCTCTACCTCATCTCCTTCGTTAGCATAATAAGCTTTTATTTAGACCAAATGAATTTTAATTTATATTCATATTTATCCGTTATGTATATTTAATTAATTATCTACATTGTGTTTTCAAATTTTTCTTTGTAAGAAATATTTTTATTTTATAATTTCACAAATAAACTATTTATATTTTATCATAATAATTTTATGTATTTTTTAAACTATTATTACATTAAAAACATAAAATTTCAAACACTACTATTCAATAAAGTCTATGTCCTTTTCAATCATTTTACAACCAAACTAAATTTTATATTAATCATCTAAACAACTTTTAACTTTTTCAACTGACTTTTTAAAAACACCTATCTAAATATACCCTAATTAACTTTTACTCTAATTTTAGTTACAAAAGTTAGTTAAACTATAGGTTAGTTTTGTCCAACACCAATCCAAACATACTCTAAGTCTGGATCATTAGAGTTTTAATCTAATGGTTGTGAAAAAAAAAATAACAAAGGGAAAGAAGATGGGAAGAACAGCAGAGAGAATCCAAGTCCGAATAAAACATACCAGCGACATTTTCTTTCTTTTTTTTTTTCCCCATAATCTCAAGTCCCTGCAACTCTCTTTGATGGCGTTTGAAAGAAAGAAGTCATCGAGTTTCACTTTGACCGCGGGAGTGAAAAATGTTGAGAAATTCTTTAGGTGAACGTGCCAGGTAACTTATGGTTTGACGAATACAGAGATGACAAGTGCAGTCCCACCACTTCTTTCTTCTTTTTACCTGGAGTCTTTTGCCTGTATATGCCGCGCACGTGCTTCCCCTCAAAACCCTCTCTCTAGCTTCTGCTTTTCTAGTGTTTACAGTTCTTGTTTTCTGTTCTTCCCTTTCAAAATATTTAATTTTTATTCATCTAGTTCAATTTGTTTTCTCTACGCCCAGAAATAA